GGCAGTGTCTTTAAGCAAGATAGAGGCAATCCGTGATGAGACGAGGAGTTTGGCAGAAAATAGAATATTTAATTATCAAGGCATCTGAAAAAAGTTTAGTTCTCCGGTAAGTATAGGATGATAGGTTCTACGTTGGTGTAATGGATAGTTTCATGTCTCAGAATCCAAAATGTAGACACAATTAGTTTGAAAAATTGCTACTCTGAGGCTACTCTGACTGAAGGGGAGGAAAAGGGACACTTTGGCGAAAGTGACCGTGCTGTTTCAGACTTCATCATAGCCTGGGTTTAGCTAGAAATATGCCCTCACTGTGGGGGAGATGTCAGAAAGTTCAGAGAAGAGAGGAAGCCTCCGTGCTGGGGGCCTTACAGGGAGGCAGGTGCCTGGTGTGTATTTACAGGTGCCTGGAGGGGTCCTGCCTCGAAGGGCCAGCTCTGAGGAGAGGGACTGGGCAGCTTGACTGGATGGGGTGGGAGATATTCCTGGAAGGAGCACAGAGGGTCAAGCTGTACCAGCTGAAGCTACTTGAGCAGGGCCAGAAGGAGTCACGCAGAACCGGGACATGCTGTATATGTGCAGTCTGTGTGAGGTTCTGCGTTCCAAGGGGTGAAGCCCAGTTTAGGGGGCCCAACAGTGGGCTCAGCAAAAGGTGTTTTAATGGTGGTCGAAATTGGTCCAAATAGAAAGGAAAGAAGGGGCATCTAGAGATAATAGTGTCCCTACACAAGAAATCGAGTCTCTAGTGAATTCTGATTTGGAAAAAGCCTGATTGGGGCACCTGGGTGGCTCGTCGGTTAAGCGTCTGACTCTTGATTTTGGCTCAGGTCATGATCTCTGGGTCATGAGATCGAGCCCAGGCTCACAGAAGGCATGGAGCCTGCTGAAGATTCTCCTTCTCTGTCCCTCTCCACCTCTTCCTCTCCCTCTGTAAAAAAAAAAAGAAAAAAAAAAAGAAAAAGAAAAGAGCCTAATCAAAACATGGGACAAAAACAAGGAATTGAAAAGATAGACAAAGGACTCTTAGAAGAATGTTCTGTTGGCTGAGGAAATGAGTGAAAACTATCAGAGGACACTATAATGAAATGATGAGCTTTTTAGGAATGCTTAAGAGTGAATAAGGAAAAGGTATGGGGCCACTGGTAGGGGCAGGAGGGGATAATAATGGGGGTTGAGAAGCAAATTGCTGGCTGATTTTTCTAGCAGAGGGGACACTGAAAGGATGTTGGTGGGGCGCCTAGCTGGCTCAGTCGGTTAAGTGTCAGACTCTTGGTTTAGGCTCAGGTCATGATCTCGGGGTCGTGGGTTAGAGCCCCATGTTGGGCTCCATGTTCAGTGCAGAGTCTGCTTGAGATTCGCTCGGCCTTTCCCCCGACTCTCTCTCTTTTTCTCTCTCAAATAAGTAAATAAAATCTTAAAAAGGAAAAGAAAAGAAGAAAAGAGAAGAGAAAAGAAAAGAAAAAAGAAAAGAAAAGGGAAAAAGAAAAGAAAAGAGAAAGGATGTTGGAGAGTTCACAGTAGCACTAGGAATGATGGGGAATTGGGCTCAGAAAACAGGCAGCAGCCGGGACGCGAGCCAACATTATGCCACAAAACCAGTTTGGGGAGGTGTTGGCTGTTGAGACTGTTGAACACTGGATGTCATAACCCATTCTGCCACCTGCACTGGGCCCTGGGTGCTGCCAGTGCTGCCACCCACGGCCGCAATGGCTGGCAGGGTGAGTGTCTCCAGTGGGGGGTAGGTAATCTCTCTGGTTCCAACTGCGAGGAAGTTGGAGGAGCCAGGATTAGGCATGTTCTGTGATGGGAAATGAACTCTGCTGCCTTCCATGTGGGGAATTTCTCAACCCCTGGAAGGGGCATCAGACTAAATTAAAGACTCACTTCAGGTTGTAGCCAAGAGACTAATGACAGTGTGACCAATCAGAGGGAATTGCAATTATTTCAGAGAAAAATGAAGAGGTCCTGGGCTCCGTCCATGGCAGTGGGAATGGAGAAGAGGGTACAGATTTTCATGAGAGTACAGTGGTAGAGTGAATAGCATTTTGTGATTAGATGCAGGGGCAAAGGAGAGGAGGGTATCTAAAATGCTGTCTGAATGCCTGTGGCTTCAGGAATTGGATGAGTGACACTGCTATGAACCAGGCTCGGTCATCCAGGAGAGGGAATTTGGGGAAATGATAGGTCGGTCATGGTTGACACCCTGAGTTTGAAGTGTCTACAAGACACACAGCCGGGCATAGACAATGGACACATTTGGATACGGTTATCTGATGATGCTAAGAAGCTGTCCAGGGAAAGGAAGCTCTGATTTGTAGCATTTCCCAAATTCTGTGGTGTGAAATACACCCACTCTGGCCAATTTCAACCTGCCAAAGCCAGATTATTGAAAGCGGGTTTGGGAAGAGATGCGCACAATCTGCTGTTGGGAGCCTACTGGAAGGTCCAGCATGCGATCGTGACTATGGGAGAGGATGGCATCTCCCAGACAGAGCAGAACCCTGGGAATAGAAACTTCAGGGCCGATGGAAGAAGGGGAGCCCCTACAATGCAAAGGAGTTGACAGAAGGAAAACCAAGAGAGAATGGGCACTTCAAGATCAAGCTCAGATCTGAGCCCTGTCAAGCTCTCCAGAATGAACTTCCATATTCATTCATTTTCTCAGCAATCTCCTACTGGACTGTGAGCTCTTAGCGGGAAGACATTCTTGCTGACTCAGCTGTGTCCCCTAGGTTAGCACCCAGCAGGCACTCAGTAAATAATTTCACTGATGTCTCGAGGGAGATTCATGTCCACCAGTTTCATAAGGCGCCACAAGACTAACTGGATATAAACGTTACAAGATGTTTGTGCTCAATGTTAGGGAAAAACTCCCTAGCCTCTCGAAGTAGACCCATCTTGTGTTGTCTGTCCCACATCCCTCCCATTCTTCTGGGAGCTATTACCCTCCATGCCAGAGGAGCTCTCAAGGCAGTCACTGTTTCCACAGGAATCTACAGACTGGCCTAGCTATGGGCACCTGACCCAGCTGGGATTTGGGGAATCAGAACTTAATGTCTCTCGCATAGCCCCTGGGGGAGAAGAGGTGGTGGCATCATTTTCCTGCCTTATGAGGCTAGTGAGAGTAGCAGGGAATCCCAGCAGCGACTCCCTGGTTCCATTCCTTCTTCCGTCCCAATGCATCCCTAGCCCTTTCTCTGATTACATTACAGAGCCCCACACCCTCCCCTTACCTCAGCAGAAGCTGGGTGCTCTGCAAGCAATAGGACTGATTAATACTCAAGCAGAACTCGCCAAATGCGTCATGTCATCTATCTGAAAATCTGTGCGTTCCCTACCTTAAGTACTCATGGGGTCCGGATGACCGCTTCAAAGGGGTTTAAAAGAGGGTATTTCTGTCAAGGGTGGTAACCCTAAATTAACAGCAACCGTAGCAGCTTTCTCCAGACGAGTGCTTGCTGTATGCCTGGCATATAGCTGAAGGAAAAAATCTTTTTTTTTTTTTAAAGATTTTATTTGACAGACGGAGATCACAAGTAGGCAGAGAAGCAGGCAGAGAGGAGGAAGCAGGCTCCCTGCTGAGCAGAGAGCCCGATGCGGGGCTCCATCCCAGGACTCTGGGACCGTGACCTGAGCCGAAGGCAGGGACCTTAACCCACTGAGCCACCCAGGTGCCCCAGGAAAAAAATCTTTTTTAAAAGATTTTATTTATTTAGAGAGAGAGCATGAGTGGCAAGAGAGGCAGAGGAAGAGGATCCCAAGCAGACAGAGCCTGGGGTTTGATCATATGACTCTGAGATCACCACCTGAGTGAAGTCAGGAGTTGGACACTTAACCGGCTGAGCCTCCCAGGCGCCCCAGGAAGGTGGGTTTGATTCAGGTTTATTAAGAGTTCAAAGTTTGTTTTTTTCTTTTAAGATTTTATTTGTCAGAGAGAGACTGCAAAAACCAGGTGGAGCGGTAGGCAGAGGGAGAAGCAGTCTTCCCACTCAGCTGGGACCCCGATGTGGGACTCGAACACAGGACCCTGGGATTATGACCTGAGCCTAGGCACATGCTTAACCTGCTGAGCCACCCAAGTGTCCCAAGTTCAAAGTTCTTTTTTTTTTTTTTTTAAGATTTTATTTATTTATTTGAGATACAGAGAGAGACAGAGTGAGATAAAGCATGAGGGAAGGTCAGAGGGAGAAGCAGACTCCCCATGGAGCTGGGAGCCCGATGTGGGACTCGATCTGAGGACTCCGGGATCATGACCTGAGCCAAAGACAGTCGCTTAACTGACTGAGCCACCCAGGTGCCCCAAGTTCAAAAAGTTCTTAATCACTAAGATAAAGATTCTTAAATTGTCTACTATCAGGATCCCTTTATGATCTTAAAAACTGAAGGCCTCAAAGAATTTTTGTCTTTGTGGGTGAACATCTATAAATCTCTCTCTCTCTATATATATATATGATGGAAATCAAAACCAAGAAATTTAAAAGACTTAAAAAGAACAAAACCCATCATGTTAACATAAATATTTTTATTAAAAGCCACTATTCTTCAAAACAAAAGAATTAAAGAGTGGCACTGTTTTACATTTTTGCAAACCTTTCACATCTAATAGAAGACAGCTGGATTCTCCTGCCTGCTTCTTCATTCAGTGCATTGCTTTGGTTGAAGGACAGAAGGAAAAGCTGGCCTCATGCAGACATATAGTGGAACAGGAACTTCGTGAATCTTCTGATAGGGTTCCAGGAGCCCACAGGAGTCCTTGGACCATAGTTTGAGAACCACTACAGTAAACTAGACTGTTTTTCAGTTAAAGACTATATCACCACTGAGTTAGTTTTAGAACTGGCAAGTTCTTCCATGGCCAAGATTTTTTATTTATTTTTTAAAGTAATCTTTATACCCAATGTGGGGCTTGAACTCATGACCCCAAGATCAAGAGTCGCATGCTCTACCGACTGAGCCAGCCAGGCACCCCCATGGCCAAGACATTTTAAACAAACTGCAAAAGATTGTGGTGGTAAAGGCAATTTGAATTCTTTTTAATTCCATTTTAATTGGACACTTTAATACACCAATTTTCAACTTGAGTTCATAAATTCTTCTTTTGCCAGCCAAAATTACATATTAGATTTTTTTCAGGTTTATTTTTCTATACCAAGAAGAGAAAGCAACATGTCATACACGGTCAAGGTTAACATTCGTATAGTGGTTTTACAGTTTACAAAGCTTCTTTCTGTGCACATATGATGCCATTTAGTTATTAGGAGCTGTTCTACAGGGGAAAGGGCGGAGCAGAGACAACTTGCCTGAGACCGCCATCGATGACCAGGCTGTGGACCAGGATTCCTCGTGACCAAGCGATGTGCTCACAGGACAACTCTGCTCTAATGAACAAACATCTCACTTTCGAAAGAAAGCCTTCCAACCTAGGAAGCGGGGATCCTTTATCTATGTTCACTTTTTCACATACACAAGAGACAGCATCTGTTCTAGAATCCAACTGGATTTTATTTGACACAGAATACAATATGGCTGCGGGAATAGCAAACTAAAAAGACAAAGCAGAAAAGACACAGTTCTACCTAATTTATAATTAAGTAACAGGAGGGCAAGTCATTAAATGAATAACAGAACAGTTGAGCTCGATGGAAGAATTCTCTCTCTAGTGCCCGTATCTGAAAGACAAAGTACATTATTTTATTAATTTCTTAGTAATTTCCTGCTTGAGACTACAGAACCTGCCAGAACACAGGAGCAAATGTAAGGAAAACTTAAAACATGTGAGTGCAAGTGTGCTCCCAGACTGGACTGACACGAGGTTTTGCCCCTTTTATTTTATCCTTCACATTTTACCTTCTACCTTCTTCTTGGTGGGAGTCCCTCCATGGGCCTCAACTACACCCACCTGACCCTCCTTCCAGTTAGTGGACAGATGTGCGCAGTATTGGGAGGCGAGAGGGAAAAGTAAGAACCAGGGGCTGCGACGGGGAATTGCTCTGGTGGCTCCAGTCTGCAGCTCAGACACCCTCTGAGCACTCAGCCTCCGCCTCCCACCGCAGCTTGTTTTCACTCAGATCTGCTACTCAGGCAAACACAGGAATAGTCACTAAAAGGCCTGAATTTCAAAATCTATCACCAGGTCCAATTTCCACCCTGATTCCATTCAGCACTAAGAAAGAGAACTGTAGAGAAATGAGGTATGGATTTCAGGTGGTTTCTGACTTCCCCAAAAGCCAAAATTTGGCTCTAATAAGAGTACAAAAACAAACAAGGCTGGGAAAGTTCTTTCACATATAAATGGGCTTCTTGAACAAATATCCTTCTATTATTTTACTCAATCTTCTGTCCAGTTCTTTATGGACCATTATCCTCTGAGTAAAATACTTATATAACAAAGTACAACACAGAACATAATACATTTAACAATGGGTGGAAACCAGGGCACTTGAACTCTGGGTCATGTTGTCAATCACTTGAACTCTGGGTCATGCTGTCAATCATCCCAAAGGACTACTAGATGTTTTAAACACTTCTCATATGAAATCTATTTGAATATCGTCTACCAAAAAAGTTGTGCCAAATTCCACACAGAGTAGAGCTCCAGCGTTTGTAAGTGTACTGGAGAGAAAGCCAGACATTGTCTATCAGATTAAAGGATGCCCATGATTTGTTCCTTCGGAATCTTTTCCCAATGCGTTGTAGAGCCCTGCCTGACAAGGCCGCTGGTGGGACACGGTGGTGGTGTCAAAGCCCAACACGAGGGATTCTTCCTACCCTCCACTTCCTAGGCTCAGTCCAGGGAATATTTAATGGGCAACATGGCACAATTTGGGTCCAAAACAGAACCTGGAGTCTGCTTCAGGGCAGAGCCAATTACAAAGGCCTCCTGAGAATGCAGAAAAGTGTTTTTGCCTTGATATGTGTGACTTCATGGTTCTACTCAGAACTCGAGCTCCTGAGGATTGGGAAGGGCTGTCTCCCGCGTTTTCGTATCTTACACGTTAGGTAGCACACACTTTGCTGAAGGAAGCACCATGGTAGTTAAAAGTTAAAACACCAAGTATTTGGCAGGTTTCTTAAGAAATGAACATGCAGTCAGTAAGACTTCCAAAATTCTTTAAAAAATAAATAACCAAGTGTAAAAGCAAAATAACTGTACCAATAAGGGATTTCTCAACATTTAAAAAAGAACCCCATCTTTTGTTTTTTAAACTTCATTATATATCTTATTAGTCAAAACTCATATTTAAATAAAACCCCCTTCTCAGTGCCTTCTCAGCGCAGTAGGCAGCGCATCAGTCTCATAAATAAAACCCCCTTCTCATAAAAAATTTGATAAAGCAAATGGTGAATAATTCAACAGCAACAAAACATAGCATTTCACAGGGAAAGAAGCATAAAAACATGAAAAGTAGCCAATCTTACTCAAAATTCAAAAAACGCAGCTGGATACTAGTTTTCAACTATCGAAGTAGCTGAGATGGAGAAGTCTGATAACAGAGCCTTAGCAGGAAATGGAGAAAGGGGCCTTCTGCTGCACTGTTTAGAGGGAGTGTAAATTATAATATATTCTAGGGAAAGGAAAATCTGACTTTAATCAAAAATAAAAAGGTACTTGGGGCGCCTGGGTGGCTCAGTGGGTTAAGCCACTGCCTTCGGCTCAGGTCATGATCTCAGGGTCCTGGGATCGAGCCCTGCATCGGGCTCTCTGCTCAGCAGGGAGCTTGCTTCCTCCTCTCTGCCTGCTCCTCTGCCTGCTTGTGATCTCTGTCAAATAAATAAACAAAATCTTAAAAAAAAAAATTTAAAATAAATAAGTAAATAAAAAGGTACACACTCTTCACTCAGAAATTCCTCCTTTAGGAAATACTGCTACAAATACACCTGCACATATTCACAAAGATTCATTTATAGGGATGGTCATCCTTACACACTATTTTTAAGTGAAAAATCTGAAACCTAAAATCTATCAATTAAATAAATTATGGTGTATCAACATAAAAACTACTCTTCAACTATCAGAAAGGAGGTACTCGAATATATATGAAAAAACTCCAAAATGTATGAAATGAAAAAGCAAGGTGATTACTATGTTGGATGCTCATATTTATGTTAAAATTACATACACATATGTACCCATGTGCATGCAAGCATGTTCCAGAGCCAGTCAGGAGGTACTAAGAACTTGTGGTCACCTCTGGGACTGAGATCAGGAGGCTATGGTGGGACACTAAATTTTTTGGGTATGCCCTCTTGACTATCTGAATTTTTTAAAAATTTACCATGTCACGTTTTATTTATATAATACTAGTAATTTAGTTGAGATAGCCACAAATGCCATATCGGAGTTAATCAGCATGAGATGGAATCATGAAGCAGAATAGGTAGATATAATTAACCCCAAGCAAAGATACTTGACCTTGGTTAGCCCCTGGAGCCTTATTATGGATATGATTCTGGAAATAATGAATAGTTTGCAGATTCTCGTATTTTCTACTTTCACAGACCCTGAGAGGTGGGACTCACAGATGAGCACTTGTTTTACTAATTTTAAAAGTTTGTTTGTAAAACAAGGTATGCTCCCTGTCTCTCATCTTCTCAGACTCTGCACTCTCCAGCTTGAGGTGACTCAGGGATGGCATGGCCCACAGAGCCCAGTCTTACAACGTCAGAACAGCCAGACACCTACTTTTGGAATTCCCACTCTCTGTTGTCCAACGGACACACCTGCCGTGTTTTGAGCCAGCGAGAGATGCAGTGGAAGTGAAAAGCATGCTGGAAGAGAAGACACATTTTATTAAAGATTATTCCTCAGCCATCTACTGACGGTCTGTCTCAAGGGCAGCAGCCTGGTGACAAACAGGGGACCAGCGAACAAGGGGAGACAATAAACAATGAGAGGCAAAAGGTCAACAACCCCTCACGCCTTAGTCAGGTACAGGACACTCCCACTGAAATACCGATTAGAAATATAACCACTACGAGAAGGAATTATTCAGGAAGCATCATATAGGCTATAGCAGTGCGTTCTCTCCCCTTCCCTTAAGGGAAGATGGAAATGTGGCTTCCTGGTCCTCTTGGGCCTGTAAGGGGAGGCTTCTACTTTCCTGTACTTTCCTTGGACACATGCCAGGAGGCCCTTGATCACAGGCAGATTTCAAACTTCCCCATTCTTGGTCCCCAGCTGCCCCTCCCCCACCTTGGAGAACGGGAACCCCGGGAGCAGTGACTTCTCCTGCCAAGGCTGAGACAGGCACTTCCCCAATCTCCCCGCACCCAGCTCAGCTCTGTTCAAAAGACCTTCTTTCCAGATTTGTTCAAAGGTGTACCGATATTAAAACAGCTCAGTACCTGGTAAGCCTTTAAGGGGTGAGGCACTTTCTCTTAAAAAGACTAAAAAACTTAAAAAACTTAAAAAGACTAAAAAAGACTAAAAAAACGAGGGAAAAAGGAAGCATCACGATGTACAAACCGCACACAAGCAGCGGAAAAGATGATCAAACGACTTATTTCATGATCTAGGCAAGAAATAAAATGGCCAGAGTACCAAGAAGGCTGGTAACCGAGGGGAGCTAAGAGATGGCTTTCAGATTTGGGCAAAAGGAAAATCTGTGGGAGTTTTTTTGTGTGAGTGAATGACACACAGGTGCTAATCACAATACCTCTGCAACAGACATTTACTCTCCCGACTGCTCATGGGAGCAGAGAATTAAGACAGCAGCTACAAGCGCTCCCCTCATCGTATCTGAGAGGGGTGGGGCTCAGGTGGGGACAGGGGAGAAATGCTGGCTGCCTAGCAGAATAATGAAAGTTCTGCAAGCCTGATTTAATAACAGACTCAAAGTCCGGTCAGCAGGCCCTACCAAAACATGGGGGGACCTTCGAGAAGAGTCACTGAGTGGATTACCATCACGGACACTGTCTTGATAAAGACAGAGACAGAATCTGGTAATCGAGAGTGGAATCCACAGCTAGGACACTGTGGATGGTCCACAGGACAGGTACTCGCCCAGGGTGAGAGCTTTAGATCCCTTTCGTGCAACTCGTTGACTCTCACACAACTCACTGTGAAAGAGAGAGAAAAAAAAAAAAAAAAAAACTTCTAGAAAGCAGAAAGTGAGGCCTTTTTTTCCTCAATCACCAGGTAGTAGGGACAGGCTCACCTAAGGGTATTCAGGACACCTTTCCCCACTGCCCCCCACCCCCATTAGGCCCCTTGCAGCAGTACAGGGTCCTTATATACCCCAACTACCTCGGAAGATGGAGGGAAAGGGGGGCTGCAAGTAAGGATGCAGAGCAGGTGCCAGCATCCCTGCACCAGCCTGGTCCCAACTTTCCGCCTGTTAATAACCAGCGGTCGGCTGAGGGGTGTACCCGCAGTCTCAAGTACACTGCCTAGTGCTTACAGCTCACAGAGGACGCGGACCCCTATCACCTAACCGGAGCCTCACAGCAAGCCTGGTGAGGAATCACGACAGGTATCATTACCTTCCTTTTGCAGACAGGAAACTGAGACTCCGACAAATCAAGGGACTTGCCTAACTCATGGGGCGGGGGGGGCGCGAGAAGACCCAGAACTAGAAGCCGGCGTTGGTCCAAGGGCTTCTGCCACCCCAGGCCAGCTCCTCTTTATGGCAGGCTCCCTGAGCTAGTCTCGCCTTAGCCAAACTTAGGGGAAGTTCACTTCCTTTGCCCTCCACCAAAAGATAACATGGCCCTTGGTATATGCCTCAATGTCAGGCAGGGCAAAGAGCCCGATATATTTCATTTCTTTATCCCCATAAACAACAAATCCAACTGGGCCAATACCGGCTGGGCCAATACAGGCTACTGGGAAATGCTCAAAGGGCCTTGACAGAATAAGAAGGTGTGGGACAGGCTCGGGTAGGACAGAGCCTCAGACTGCTGGGCCAAAGTGCTGATATGTGCTCAGTAACCAACACCCCCCAAAGATGTTACTTATATTTAACAAACAAACACTTATGTCTCCTTTGTGCTAGGATAAAATCGTTTCATCCTGATTATAACTCTGTGCAGTCTACATGAGGGAAGCCAGGGTTAGGGATGTCAAACACCTTGTCTGAAGTCACTTAGCAAGTAAGTCAAAGACAGGGAATGATGGTCTGACTCCAGAGCCTCTTAGGCCTGGGCTATGCTGGGGGCTGCGGGTCCTCTTTCCCCTTGGCACAGGAGGACAGGACAATTTTAGCTCCTGTAACTGGGACTATATGGCTATAGAGACGAATTTTTAACACATGCTAGAAATAACATATTTGATGCTGTTATCCTTCACAGCTGTCACGCCGGGGAAGGCTGTACATTCAGTCCAACGATGCTGGACAAAACATTTCTGGCATGAGCCGCGTTAAAAAGAAATCCTAACTTAGTACGTTTGCCATACTTTAGAACACACAGACACGGGCCCTTGAACACTCAATTTATTTGCCAAACTTAGTTCAACAAGGCATATATAGCCCTAAAAAAAGATCTGTTAAGAAGGTAAAGATGTCCACCAACAGGGGAATATTCCAAAGACTGCCACAGGCCTTGCAGGCAATTCCCAAAGATGAATCCCCAAAGTGTTGCTAACAAAAGTCGTTCCTCTTTATAATTAAGACAAAATGGTGCCCGTATAATAACTAGTAATTTTTAACCTATCACAGGTGAACAGTACAAAGATTTAAAATCTTTTTTACTATTTGTATACCTTTTGGGAGAAAGGTGGGCTAGTCATTTTTTTTCCTAGTTATTTTCAAGACTGGCAAAGCAGGAAAAGTGGTAATATGTTTACAAGCCATGCTGATAGGGAAAGATGTTTCCTTACGTTACAGACTCCCCATGCAACAGTGCACTCTTCAGAAGTAGCGGACGCCTGGTTAGCTTGACATTCTATGCCTGTGGGAACAAGAGCAACAAGATCACTGGACCTCCCGCGCCCCACCTGCGTAGTATCACAAGCACAGGATTTGGGCGAGGTAGGGGTGAGGGTGATGCAAACCTGGACAAAATCTCAAGTGGTTCATTAGTCACCATTGTTTTCTCATGAGTGTAGGAAGGGGAGAAGCGCAGAAGGCAGAGATGTGACTTATCCGTTTGCTTTGCAACCATTTCCTCTCCTTGGTCACAGAGTGATGAAGGAAAAGGCACATTTTTAGTTCTGAACATAACCTGACCTGTCCAAACCAAAGTGATTTCTCCTAGTTTGGTTCATCTAGTAAATTCTTAAAGCTACCTCGTAACTCTTACTGTTCTGAGAAGTGGCATCTTCTCCCTGTTTTGGGCAAATGCTGCCTCTGAGGTCCTTCCAACAGTATGGCCTCACTGGGTAACAAGCTCCAGCCCCTCGAGGGGTCAGGCACACACACAAGAACTGGGACAGAAGCAAAATAAAAGAGGTGAAGAGGCCTGTGGCACACTTGAGCGCATGCTCTGTGTGAAAGCACCAAAACTCAAACACCTTTAAAACACCGTCAAACAAAGCCAATCTGTTCAGCCAATGGGCTAGAGACTTGGGGCCCACAAACTGGTGATGTGTACTACCCAAGGTGATGCTGTCTTGTGAACAGAGCACATTATGGCAAATATCTCCAAATATCAATTTCACAGAGGGGGAAGAGAGAGGAATTAAAATAGAATACAAATCTGACTGAGGTCAAGAACTGATGAGTAAAGCTCTACTGGGATGAATCTTGAAGGAACAAGAATTACTAGTGTCTAATTTGCTTTCTCTGAAGGTGGTAACTAAATGGAGTCTCTCATTTGAAGAATAAAAAGTTTTGGGAAAGACTAAAAATAGACAATTACTTCAAACTTCCATAGGTGAGAAACAGAAAGACTGTAGGCAAATAGTGCTGAGACTTGAATGGGTCTGTCTGGTCTTGGGGGAAATTATACACCATAAGGGTTTTTTCCATCCTTCAAAACTATGAAAGGCAAAGGATCTGAAATCACAAAACTTCCTTTTGCTACCAGATCCACACTACAAAGAGAGTAACTGGGTTCTCCTTCTGATAGGAGTGGAGAATCCAGAGTCTATGCAGTATATGCAAGGATTTACTGGAGCTGTGACTGCACTACCATTTTCAAAAGTAGAGAAAATAAAATCTGATGACCTTCAAGTTGGATTCTCTCAGATGAGTACAATATATCTTGAAATTAGTTAATTAAGAGATAATTATTACTGAAATAAATAACGACTGTTTCAAGGTACATGATCATGTTTAAATTTTTCTAGCTCAAGGTATTTTTAAGGGACTCTTTCTGTGCCAAGTGCAAAGTAGGCTCTCAGTACCTTAATAAGCAAACAAAACCACTTCTACCAACAGAGACAATGGGGACCAAATACATATGCATTCTTTACCTGGTAATTCCTAACAAAGAACAAAAATATATAGGAGGGATAGGACTGCAATCTACAAAGCCATGAAAGAAAGGATATGGCATGAAAAACTATTAAATATGAGTGTAAAATGTTTTCAAATAGAAAATGTTCTTGAGGGGCGCCTGGGTGGCTCAGTCAGTTGAGCGTCTGCCTTCAGGTCAGGTCACGATCCCAGCGTCCTGGGATCAAGCCCCATATGAGGCTCCCTGCTTAGTGGGAAACCTTCTTCTCCCTCTTTCTCTCCCTCTGCCTGCTGCTTCCCTTACTTGTGCTCTCTCTCTCTAATAAATAAAATCTTAAAAAAAAAAAAAAAATTCTTGAGCTGTTGGTGCAGACAGGAGTTGAGTCGTTCATTTAAACAGGGAAAGTTAACTATTCACTGTCAACCTAGAGCAGCCAAAACAAGCAGCACATAATGGGTTCCTGTCATACCCCTGCAAAGGCAGAGGCTTAGTGCATGCAATACATAGTCTGGGGACTTTTAAACTTCAATATAAGAGCATTACCAGGGCGCCTGGGTGGCTCAGTGGGTTAAGCCTCTGCCTTCGGCTCAGGTCATGATCTCAGGGTCCTGGGATCGAGCCCCGCATCGGGCTATCTGCTCCGCGGGGAGCTTGCTTCCCCTTCCCCCTCTGCCTACCTCTCTGCCTACTTGTGATCTCTATCAAACAAATAAATAAAAAATCTTAAAAAAAAAAAAAAAAGCATTGAGCATTACCACCAAAGGTCTGCTAAGGAAGCAATGGTTTCACCTTGGAAGCTGATGGATTTCACACTTTCAAAACAGGGATGGACCTGTGGTTTAGGAAGAGGCTAACTTCTCATGGGCAAAGGGTGGGTCTACACCCTTCTGGATGCCCTCTTCATCTGGAACAAGACTACCTGAGATAATGGATAAAACCTAGATTATGTGTTTCAGCAACTCTTAACAACAACAAAGAAATGGGGCAATATACAATAAATATGAAGCTAGAAGAGGGCATGTAGTGTTAATTTTTACTCAAAAGAGGAAGTCTTCAGACCAAGAAAGCTTTACAGAAGAGTCCAACTTGGGCACAGCCATAATCACTGTTACTTATTTAGGGCTATGTACATAATTATTCATTTAATGCCAGACCAGAATTTATTAGAAAATGGCCATTGCTAAATCAAGATTCTTATTTTCAGCTTTGACAAAAAGTCTTTTTACAGGAATCATAATCCCTTTATTTTTTTAACGGAAGGCAAGCCCAGTTGTGGCAACCAGACTTCTCTGTAGTGTCTGTGATAAGCAAAAAGGTGTATTTCTTAAGGGTAAAAATTTGATCTCAGTCACTGTTTTGTACTGGTGCCTAGCAAAATGCCCAGGATGTGAGCATTCATTGAATGAATAAAAGACAAGACTTGAAAACAGACTCTTAATTATAGAGAACAATTTGATGGTTATCAGAGGGGAGGATGATGAGGAGATGGGTTAAATAGGTGATGGAGATTAAGAAATGCACTTGTCATGATGAGCACCCAGTAATGTACGGAAGAGTTAGTCACTACTATATTGTATGCCTGAAACTAATATAATGATGCATGTTAACTAGAATTAAAATAAAACCTTAAGGGATGCCTGGGTGGCTCAGTGGGTTAAGCCTCTGCCTTTGGCTCAGGTCATGGTCTCAGGATCCTGGGATGGATCCCCACATCGAGCTTTCTGCTCATCAGGGAATCTGCTTCCCCCCTCTCTCTACCGGCCTCTCTGCCCACTTGTGATATCTCTGTCAAATAATAAAATCTTTAAAAATAAAATAAAACCTTAAGAAATAATTTTTTAAAAAAAGAACAAACTTCTCAATTAAAATTTTGAAAAGACATGACTTGAAAATACTTTCGTAATTTTTTGTTATAAGATTTCAATATTCTGGGGCGCCTGGCTAGCTCAGTCAGTAGAGCATGAGGCTCCTGATCTCAGGGTTGTGAGTTCAAGCCCCACACCGGGGCATACTTAAAAAAAAAAAAAAAAATCAAGAAATCAATATTCTACTTCATCTAACATTTAAAATATATGATAAAGTAGGTAGGTATCTAACTGAAGACCTACATTGATCCCTCAAGCGTTCAACTAAGATAAAGTATCAATGGCCTTTGTTCGTTGTGGTCCTCCCAAGAAGTATATTCTCTTGAATCCAGAGAGACACAAAATGACTTAAATAACTTAAAAAACCCAAACCAGGGTTATTTGGAATCATTAATTATTTACAGAAGAGAGACCCAAGAAAATAAAATTTGCTTTGGGCACAACTCCTTATGAAAATGCACAGCAACAAAATTGGCACACATGTAATCAGAACCCCACCCAAACACATTTAAAACTGGGCATATGTTTCTCCGTGATGGATTCCTTCTATCTATACTAAACACGATGGTAGCTGCTGTCGGCTTTGACTGTCGTGTGAAAAGGTAAACAGGGTCAAAATTCAAACCACGGACAGCAAACTACCAACACATATTTGATTGGTGCTTTCCAAGTTGCAATGATCAGACTATTTCCCTATCTTGTATTTTTATTATTCATTGAGCAAGTGTTTAGTGAGAACCTATTACATACTGGACACTATGCTAGATGCTGGGAAGAGAGCAGTAAATAACATACATATGATAGAGAACGAACTAAATTAAATACTACAAAGGCAACCATGGGAGGTCTTGGGAATGTTTAACAAAACTGTCACAGCCTGTGTGCATGTTAAGTATGGGCAGGGAACACATCTCTGAGCTAGTTCAAGATGAGATCTAAGGACCAACTATGGGTTAGTTCCACACTGCTCCATAAAGTCACCACTAGCCTCATATAGCTACTGAACACTTGAAATGCGGCTAGTCTGAATTGAGAGGTGCTGTAATCATAAAATACGCTTCAAAGACTTACTACCAAAAAGAAAATGTAGAATATTTCACTTTAAAATATTATTTACAGGGCGCCTGGGTGGCTCAGTCGTTAAGGGTCTGCCTTCGGCTCAGGTCATGATCCCAGTATCCTGGGATTGAGCCCCACACTGGGCTCCCTAATCGGCGAGGAGCCTGCCTCTCCCTCTCCCACTCCCCTTGCCTGTGTTCCTTCTCTCACTGCACCTCTCTGTGTCAAATAAATAAAATAAAATCTTAAAAATAAATAAAAAATAAGATATTATTTACATGTTGAAATGAAATTTTTTTGGATATAGCAGGATAAATAAAATGCAAATCACCTATTTCTTTTTACTGTAATGTGGGTACCAGAAAAAATTTAAATTATGTATGTGCTTGCATGTGTGGCTCATATTCAGATCAGACAGTAGTGGGTTAGGCAAAGGTAGTGGAGAGAAGAGGGAGAATATTGCACACCAAGGCAACAGGATGTAAAAAGGCTCTAAAAAAGAGCATGGACAACTCAAGAAAGGAAAGAAAGTCAAAAAAACTATCAGAGTGAGTGGGAGAGTGTTGCAAGATGAAGCTGGAGAGGCAAGTGAGTGATTTTCAAAATAAGTGTCTACAAATCCAACTCTAGAAAGCTGAAATTTCTTCCCCTTATACCTCATCTCTGTAACAAACCATTTTAGTACCTGGATTAAAAAGTAACCTCAACTATTACTGGTATGATCAACACACTTGCCCCTATTACTATAAGGATCCTAAGTCCGTCAACTGCTATCAAATCCACCATGTACTGGCTACTACATGTGATGGAATCTGTAGGAGATTTAAATGAAATTTCTTTACTGCAATTAGCTGTCTATTTCAATGTTGGCAGCGATGTCCTCTTAACTTTGGGGCTAACACTGAAATTCCTTATTTCGTTGGCTTCTTTTCTTTATAAATCTTGCCAAGCAAAAACTAGCTTTGGTGGAATATTTTAGCTCAAAGTTTATTTTTTTCCTTTCACTATTTTTGCCTTTGAGTCTGGGTATGAGATGGGAAATATAGAGGAATAATCAACAGTGCCTCTGTGTCCACAACTCATTCTAAATGTGTGCTTGCCATCTTTAGATTGAGTAGATTTATTCTGAGAGATGAGTGTGCCTCCAGGATATCATTAAATCTACTCTATTTCAAACACACCAGCGGACTAGAGGCAGAAGACACCAAGTGTTCTGACTAGGCTGTGTATCTCCTTGGGAAGAAGAAATTTGGTCACATCAGGATAGCCACAATCTCTGTAACCTTCTCAACTTCCTCCCATCCTCCTCCAGTTACTTACAAAGATCCATAATGTGGTTCCTGCAGATGGCACAGTTATCAACCACAATATCCCAGGCCCAGAGGGCTACTGCATTCCACTGCAAAGAGAAAAAGGGGGAACAATGCACTCTCCTTGTAACACAGGCACGCACACACTCTAGGATTTCATGCTGCAGCTGCAGTTATCATCTCTTTGGCCACAAGGATCTCCAAACATATGAGTTTGGGGATATTACATTACTCTTATTTATTTTATAAGAGGACAACAGAAGGCCTCACGTGTGCTCACCTGTACTTTAAACAGTTGAGTATGTGAACACAAATTAATGGATTGTCTTTATTTTCTCCCACAGCTTACAATAATTTAGTCAACCATACCAATGTAAGAAAATCAGGAATAATTCTTAAGTGCCTATTTTAGGTTTAATAAGCACAAACTTGAATTTCTGTACAGGTTCCCCGGAAGAGCTCAATTTCTGCACAGAAAAGTATCTGCTCTTCAAGGCAGCTTTGAAAGAATGAGCCGGGCGGGAGGTGAAAGCTAGGAACAGAAGAACTATGATGATGATTGGATCATAAAATGGGTAATCGTGGGATAAGCTGGATAACCAACTACCCAGTGTGTGCATACACAGAGCAAGGTCATGACTTAAATCTTCCAAGATTATTTCACAACAAACTCTACAATTCACCAGAATTTTGGTTAGTTCCTACCATCAAATAAACTGCTGTTCTCAACTTTCACATGCTCAGACTCTCATTTAGTTTAAGATAATTCCAATTAAGTGTTTATCTAAAAGCAGCATTTAAGCAATTTAACCTTCTGGCTTCTGCAATTATAAATATTCCCAAACTCCCTTTTCCTCCACTAATCTGGTGCTACTTCCAAAACCTTCACCTCTTTCAAACCCAATTCTCAGAGCCTAGTTCAACTTCTTCAGCACTTTTCACCAGAAAGCTTCAACTTGAAGGAAAAAAAAAAAAACAACCCCTATTTCTTTTCTTCAATATGGCTGCTGCCTGTAACTGAGCATGCAGTGTCCACAATGAAACACCAAAAAAGCAATAGCAGGGGGAATATTGTCGGTGTTTAGCCAGATACTCAAGTAATAACATTTCCCCTATTTCAGTCTTCATTTGGAAGAGATTTATTTGATACTATGTGGGCATCGGCACTTTTCTCCCACACTATTGGCAAACCACTCTAAGACATTTCATGCAAAAAGACACGTTCAACATTTTTGCTTTCCCACTTTCACCAGGTCGCTCGCCACTAGTACTCAACCCTTCCTAAATGACGCAAGGTTTGGGCTCACATTTTCTTTTTAAACAAATTCCATCATTTGAGGGGGAGGGGAAACAGAGGGATTTAGATATGACCACAGAACTGTGGCGGCTGTGTGACAAACCAACAGACCTCTCAGAAGAGCCTAGAGTTGTTACACTGGAGACACTTTAACTCGGCGGGGACGAGGACTAGAGATAGGGCTAAGGGAGGCCTTGATTAGGCGAGGACCGAATTAGGGTCCCTCAATAAGTGGGGCTCCGGGCTTCGGGAAGAGGCGGGGCAAGGAGATCACCAGCCGGGCTCCTCCGAAGCCTCCAATGCGGTAGGAACTGAAGTCCCGGCTTTCGCCGCACTGCCCCCATCCTCCACCCACTGCATCGTTCCGACTCCCCCTTCCATCCACCCCACCCACTCCTCCCCACCCCTCCACCACTCCAGTGACAGCTCAGGCGCTTGGCTCTCCCAGATGAGTTGCAACCCCGCGTATCGCAATAAGCGCTTCCGTGATTGGCCCCTCAGACTCCAAGCGAAACCAATACTGCCATTGGCAGTGGGCCCCAGTCACGCCGATCAACTCTAAGACCCGCCCCCTAGTTTCCTTTCCTGGTACCCGGTCTCAGGAACGCCCTGAAATGAAGCCCTTTCCTCCGCGCCTCGGTCATCCTCGGGCCTGCCAGCCAGATCCGCGCCTCTCTATCTTCCCTGAGGAAGGCGCTGGCGAGACCCAACCTTTTTCACTTCAAAGCGCTTCTTGCCCGCGCCGCTGTTGGTGCCGCTCGGGGTATCCACATCCATCGCTGCCGCCATTTTGGAAACACACGGTCTGTCGTCCGGCCACTGCGCCTGCGCACCAGCGCACGCCTCCCTCCTCTTCCCTCCCCGGCACCTCCTCCCGCACCCCGCCCCCTACTGGCGCGCGAGGGGCAGGTGGGGGGCGGAGCACGTAGCCACGCCTCTTAAAGGCGCTGGTGCAGGTCCCTCCCTCCCCGCCTCCCCACCTCCGGGCCCCAGTGTCGGCCGGGGAAGAGGCGGTGGCCGGGGCGGGGCCGGGCGGGGCCCAGCCGACGTGATCGAGCGGGGTGGAAACGCTCGAAAGACTCCCTCTCGCCTCCTCCCCCGGGAAGCCCCCGGCCGCTCTCCTTCTGCTGGGGCGGCGGCTGCTTCCTCCGCCTCGGCCGCGACCTGCAGTGCCGGCCCCGCCCCGCCCCGCCTTCCCCGGCCGCAGCACCGCTCCAGTGCCGGCGGGTCTAAAGCAGCGCGTTTCGCCGGGAAGCAGCAAGGCCGGTTGCTGCGACTCCTGATCGCGAAAAGGGAGACCCCACAGTTTCGCAGGTTCCAGATCCGTTTCCGAGCCAGGTCCGACGTGCAGCCTCCCTGGTAGATCCGGGCCCAGGCACCGTTTGGTTCCTGATTCCGATTCGGGAAATGCTCAGGATACAACGGGGAGCTCCCCGAATGTCCTCTCCGGGGCCCAACTGTGTAGGCATTCTCCAGTCCTGCCTTAACCTGCACACCTGAAATAGGCGGAGGAGGCTTAGGAGCCTGGGAGATGCCATCTCCAGCCCGCCCGAGATAGCATTCCGTGCTAGAATGCTCTTTGGTTAAGGGACACGACTTCAGCTTCACATACTTGAGCACACGTTTCCTATTCCTCAATTGGTCATCTGACTATGGTGTCCTTTTCCCCTAATTTCCGTCCTCTTTTCGCTCCTTGCCCTGTAGTCTCATCTGCAGTTGCTGTACGTCTTAATTCTTGTGAGGCGCTTGGCCATTGATTCTTACTGGTCGTTCCTTCCCAGCCAAAGCACCTGGACTTTATGTCACCCGCCCATTTCTACATCCGATGCCCCTTGTGAATCTCTAACCTTGCGGAAGTATGACTCGGCTAGATCATTCTTGAATCTTGTATTAGTTTAGTTGAAATCTCGTATTTTCTCTTAAAAAAAATTGGGAGTGTACTGATTCCATTGCCAAACCGGAAGAACTGCGATTTGTTTCCTTGTCTTAGTCATAAACGGGAACAACAAATCCATGAAAACACCACCATACTTTCAACCAGACTTGGAAAGAGAAAAAATTGTCCGAGACCTTAAAACATTATGGGAACCCTACAAAGTTTTTCTTAGCCCAAATTTTGTTAGAGTAATAATCCCATGTTGAGATTTCTGTCATCTAATTTATTGCATTCCCAAAGGCCCCTACAGGATACTAAAAACCCATAGTAAATTAAGGTATTAAGGGCATATTTATCCTTCATTAAATTCATTGAGTATGTACAAGTTTCTGTTATAAATAGGAGAGACACGGTGATGAAGGAGTCAGAATTCCTAGTAGGGAAATAATACACGAATAAGCAAATACATTGAGGGGAAGAAAAAAAAACACCCTCAGGTATCAATAAATGCTATTAAGAAGACAAAACGAGGGGTGCCTGGCTGGCTCAAGTGTCTGCCTTGGGCTCAGGTCATGATCCTGGAGTCCTGGGATCAAGTCCTGCGTTGGGCCATCTGCTGGGTGGGAGAGCCTTGCGTCTTCCTCTCCTTCCCCTGTTGCTCGTGCTCTCTCTCTCTCTCTCTCTCATTATTTCTGTCTCTCTCATAGAAATAAAATCTTAAAAAAAAAAAAAGAAGAGGAAGAAGGAGAAGAAGACAAAATGAGATCATGAAATTGAAGGGAGAATTAGGTGATTAGGAAAGGCCTCTATGAGAAGTGACACTGCAGCTGAAGTCCTTTACAAGGGCCTAAAGGATCCTCCATGATCTGTTACCCATTCATTTAATGTGCACACATATCTTCGAACATGTTTTTCATTTACTTATTTATTAGACTTATTGATTTTGTGTGTCCTCACCAAGAGGGGAGTTTTTGTTTTTTCGTTTATTGGTGACACTGCAGTGCCTGGTACATTGAAGGGCTCAGTAGGTGTTGAATGAATAAATTTGAAGCTTAGTGAGCAAGGAGAGTGTGGTAAGATATCAAACAGACAGGCAGAGGCCAGATCAGAGCAGGTAGGGATTTGCAGATATTATGGGAAGGTAGCTGAAGGGTTTAAATTAGAGGAAGGGATTAATTGACAAAATCTTAAAAGTTTTTAACTTTTGTGAAGAAGGCATTGTAGGGATACAGGAGAGGAAGCGGCAACAATTTCTATATAGATCTATGATGGGGAGATGTATGATCTTAGGGGCAGTTGCATTAAGCTATGAAAACCTCATGTACTGATCTCTCCTTTGGAGATTTGCCTTGCCATGGTGATTGACCATGACATTCTGTATGCTAGACTCTATTGCATAAACCCAAGAGAACTTTTCATGGATACATGAAAATACAAAAGAGAGGAATACAGATTCCTATCTTTCTTCATAATTTCACTCAGTTTACAATGCAATAGGTTGTAATTTTACTTTAGTTCTTTTTCCTTCATCCATCTATTCATTCAACAGTTTCTAAAATATCTACAGGACCTGCTGTGTGTCAACTGTACCATGCTAATCTAGATAAAAAGGCATCTGATATTTCCAGTACTTACAAAAGGCTCTTTTTATCATTGCCCTTATGGTATACTAGAAGAGAGGCAAGTCACTTATTGATGATTCCAATGAATTTTAGGAAAGGGGAAGTTTGGGGTACTTTGAAACAGAAAGCAGGTCTGTGGCGGGTGGGGGTAGTGGGGACGTCTTCTTGGAGGAAATGGTTTGAGATGGAAGGGTGAGCCAGACAAAAAGCAGAGGCAGAGGGATGCTGGTAAATGTTTAAAAACCAGTTCTAAAACAAACAAACAAATAAGCAAGAAAGCCCTGATTTGTAGTGTGAACAGCCAGATTGCAAAATTTCTGAAAATTGTTCCTGTAAGTTGATGTAAGCTGGCTCCAACACACACACACACACTGAGTGATATGGAAGAAGGTGGCATTCCAGGAAGAGGGAACCCTGTGCAGAAGGGACTCAAAGCTGGAGAAGGCACAATGCATCCATAGAGAAGTCTGGAGTGGCTGGAGTATAAAGAAAGAATGATATAAATGAGTCTGCAATGATGTGCAAGAATCATTTGTTTGTGTCTCTTCTCTTATTCTGTATTTAGCAATGTCATCTTGGTAACTTGAAATCGGCTGTTATAGTATTATTTACACCATAGAAATTGGCTAACATTGCATATCGGGGTTTTCCACTTCCCAACTTGCTTAATAAATATATACCAGTGGTAGGGGACCAGGTCATGCAGAATTGTTCAGTGGACCCACGCAAAAAGTTTTGGTCCCTATCCTTAGTGATGGGAAGCCATTGAAGGATTTTAACCAGTGTCTCATATGGTCAGATGTGCACTTTTAGAAAGTCCTAGAACTTGGCCCTAAAGTAAAGAAATTGGATCCCAAAGATTACAGGTGAGGAATTTCTGAAGTAGGTCCATATCCAAGTGGAGATCAAGGAAGCCCAACTAAAAGAACTCTGGACTGACAGTGACAACTGTGGATTAAACAGAAGTTCTTTTTAAAAGGGATATTTTGACAATTATGATTCTGACTTTGGAGGAACTGCAATGATTAGCAGCTGAAGGAATCACGTAAAATTCCTTAAGTAAAAATTTACTGACTTTAAATAAGAGTGTTAGGCAGGACTTCCACTTCTGAAGATGGAGTAGACATAGTTTTCCCTATTCTTCTTCTTTTTTTTTAAGATTTTATTTATTTATTTGACAGAGAGGGATCACAAGTAGACGGAGAGGCAGGCAGAGAGAGAGAGAGAGGGAAGCAGGCTCCCCGCCGAGCAGAGAGCCCGATGCGGGACTTGATCCCAGGACCCCGAGACCTGAGCCAAAGGCAGTGGCTTAACCCACTGAGCCACCCAGGTGCCCCCCCATTCTTCTTCTTAAGTACCACTGAAATCCCTGAACAGGACATATTTTTTAAAAATAATAATAAGACTTTGAGAGTTGGAGAGAAGAGGCAGACCAGTTAGGGAACTTAGGACTTGAGGAATGACATGGTAGTGAGTTCCCTGAGTTTTCTTTTCACTTCTTATGTCCCAGACTTGGAGCTGAAGAAGCTGGTAGCCAGAAATTCCAATGAGTACAGACAAAAAAGGAAGAAATAAATAGAAAAGAAAGAAAGAAAGAAAAAAAGGCTGCTTTCTTTAGCAAACCGAAAACTTTACACAATAACTGCTGTAATCCAAGCAACACAGAAAAAATGTGGCCCTACTTGCACACATGCCGGCAAAGCTGAATGAGGAACCCAGTCTATATAGCTTGCAAGTCTTTAATCAGGTGCCCAACATCCATGCTAGTGTGGTGAAGGCCAAGTAAGGAGTTGGTACTCTCATCCCTTCTGGCTGATAATGACTTCCCCTAACCCTGCTGTGTAAGAGGAGACCATGGCAAGATTTGGACATCCACTCAAGCCAGCAGTAAGAGGCAACCCATCCTCTCCCTGCTGGGGTGGTGTTGGAGGAGGTTAGTGGAGAGTGAGGACTTTCACCATCACTCAGCAATAATGAGGATACCCGCCCTGCAGTGTCCGTGGAGACCGTGTAGGGAGCTGGAACTCCTATCCTCCACTCTAGCTGTTAATGGAAACTAAGTGGGGAACCTGGACGTCTACCTCCACATTCCCCTGCTGCAGTGATGTCCAAAAAGCCAATTAAAATAGGTTTAAATAAAATCCAGTGTCTCGGGCACCTAGGTGGCTCAGTTGGTTAAGCAACTGCCTTTAGCTCAGGTCATGATCCTGGAGTCCCAGGATCAAGTCCCACATCAGGCCCTCTGCTCATCAGGGAGCCGGCTTCTCCCTCTGCCCCTTGCCCCTTTCATGCTCTCTCTCTCTCCAAAAAATAAAATCTTAAAAAAAAAAATCCAGTGTCTCATAAC